ATAATAATAACAAACCACAACCAAACCATAATAAATAAAAAACAACACAACCAAACCATAACTAAATAAAACATAACCAAACCATAACTAAACAAACCACAACCAAACCATAACTAAATCAAACATAACCAAAGCATCTATGCTCCATCATTCATCTTCATTGCCTTTCACCGCCCATAGATGCTCCATCAAGTCAAGTTGACGCCTTTCATGAATATACGAAGATTGCATCTCTACATATCGATCTATCATATGGGTCATGAAACGACCATCCCTAACCAACGGGTCCTGCTCAAAACGGTTCTCCACCTGGCCCCATGGGCCTTTCATAAATTCGTGTCAAGGCCGTGTTCATGGGATCCGGTTCGTAGACCTCTGCAGCTTCATAATCATACTCATCCTCCACAATCATATTATGGAGGATGATGCAAGTCATCATAATGCTTCTGAGGACCTCCTCATCAAACATACGGGCTGCACCTTGAATAATCAACCACCGAGCTTGAAGGATGCCAAAACAACTTTCGACATTGTTCCTGTATTTTTCTTAATAAGTAGCAAATAATTTTTGCTTCTGGGATCGAGGATTCGGAATGAATTTGACAAATATGGTCCACCTCGGGTAGATGCCGTCAGCTAGATAATACCCCGTCTGGTAGACTGTATTGTTGACTTGATAGGTGATATTGGGGCCTTGGCCTCTCAAAACCTCGTTGAAGACCGGGGATTGACCCAGCACGTTGAGGTCATTTTGGGATCCAGCAACTCCAAAGAAGGCATGCCAAACCCATGTGTCAAAGCCAGCAACGGCTTCAAGGATGATACTTTTTTGGATGCAGTCGATGCTGCCAATCATTCCTGGAAATCCTCGAGCTTCGGCTTTTTGTAGAAGCCGTTGGAGGTCCCTAGGCGTAGGTCTACGCAGGTAGTCCCTAGTGTACAGAGTTTCAACTGCAACACAAAATCTTACCAAAGCCTCCAACGTAGTTGACTTCCCCATCTGGGCAACCTCATCCACCTGATCAGCAAATGCTCCATACGCCAACATTCGTATAACAGCTGTAAGCTTTTGCTCCGGAAGAAGTCCCAAAACCCCAGCAGCATCACACTTTTGAACAAAGTATGCATCATGATTGCAAATATCATACATGACTTTATTGAACACATGAGGTTGCATTCTAAATCGCCTTCGAAAATCAACATCAGAGTACAAAGAAGTTGGGATAAAATAATCTTCCAAAAGATTCTTACCCCGCGAATGCCTATGCCTGTCCACATTCCGGCGGCGGCCGACTTATGAACCACGGCGGCGACCTTGGTTCTCTTCATCTTGCAAAGCCACTGCTATGACAACTTGTTCAACGACTTGTCTCTGCAACTCATTGATTTCATCTGCTCTACGGTTTCTCTCATTTCTTTCTCGCTCTTGCCTCTCCAAGGATCTCCTAAAATCTTCCATTGAGAATGAATGGAATATGAATTCTAAACTCTGAGAAATGAAAATATAGAAAGATGTGGTGTGAGAGGTATGAGCTGAGCCTCTGGTTTTTTAGAAAATTTTGGCAAGATAGAGATGCCACGTGGCTTGATTTGATTGGATGAAAATCTTATCTGAAATTTGAAATTCATCCGAAATTTGAATCCAAATTTATATGAATTTTGAATTTTGAAATTCATCCGAAATTTGAACCCAAAAATCTTATCCGAAAATTTTATCCAATTATGAATAGTCGTGACACGTAGGAACCCGGAAATCTTATCCGAAAATATTATCCAAATTAATTATTGAGGTAAAACAATTTGTGAAAAAAACAAAAAAATGAATAGTAATTGCCCTTAGCCATGACAACGGGTGGAAACACAAAATACTATTTGTGTAACAACCCAAACCTTAATTAATATTTAATTAATAATTTAGTAGAGTAAAAGACAATTTTACCCTTAGAATAATTTATTATATTTAAAGTTGACATTTTTACTAGGAAGGAATTTGGGAAATCCGTTTGTACCGTTGCGTAGTGCGCGAAGAAACGAGTCCGTAAACACATAGTGGGCTCAAATCCAAGTCGTATTGAAGATAATACGATCAAAATACGAAAAAGGGCAAAATTGAAATTTTGGAAAAAATCAGATTCTCCCTTTCTCTCTCCTCACTCTCTCTTCTTCCTCGCGCACACCCCCTCCCCTGTTTTTCTTTTTGCTCCAGCCAACACCCCAAACCCCCATAACCACCGGCGCTGACCACCCCAGCCCACCGGACCAGACCCAACACGCCAGCCGGACCTTGCCGTCGCACCCCCGACCTGCGCCGCCTCCGTCGACAGCTCCAGCCACTGGAAACAGCTCGGATCCCCCCTTTAGAAAATTTTCCAGCAGCTCCTCCAAACCTCCATAGCCACCACCCCACCTCACCACCTGACACGAAACCGGCCAAGATCGGACTAGACCAACCTCGCCGCCACACCACAGACCTGCGCCGCCTCCGTCGACAGCTCCAGCCGCCGGAAACAGCTCGGATTTGGCTAGTTTTTCTCTGAATTTCAAACCTCTAGTTCTCACTCCTCCGGACGCCAAATCGGACGAATTAGGTATGGTTTTTTGACTGATTTTCACGTTCTAGCTGATGGTTGGGTAGGTTTTAAGAAATTCTGAGGTTTGAGGGGTTAATTTTCGAGTTAAGTTTCTTCCGGTTTTGCGTCGCCGATTTCAGCCACTTCCGGCCACTTTTTTGCCATAGTCCAAGAACAAAAGTGGTTCCAAATAGGGTATATTACCTAGAATAGGAGTTTGGGCCGACGTTGTGGAGAAAATCCGGTCACCGGAAATTGTTAGGCACACCCACGCGCTGCCGGCGCGTGGGCGGTGCGTGGGCCAGGTAACAGGAGCCACTCTTGGTCCTAGAATAATCCTCGTGTCCTCACGAGCGCGTAGGATTTTGCGGATCTCAATTCGGATAATGTTTGAACCCCGAACGGATCTCGCATAGTATGCGATTTTCAGGTTCAATACGTTTGGACCGTTGGATCATAGCCAAACTGGAGTATGTTAATTTAGGTATTTTAAGGATTGTGTAGGATTCGACGGATCGTAAATTGGATCCCCGGATGCTCCGAAAAAGCCAACCCTAGGGCTAGGTTTACAGAAAATCGTTCATCAGTCCGATCCTGCGATCGTGAGCAATCTGACCGTTTGATCGAGACCAAACTTTCAGGACATGTGTC